TGGTAGTTCATTTGCTCTCTTTTTTTCCTTATTGCACAAAAAGACCGAGAACGTGAAACAAGGGCGAGGTGTCCATGTCGTTCCTTTGGTCCTTTTTCGTTTTGTGCGGTAACACTACCGTGATGACTCCGCTTGATGCATCGGGTGACAACACTGCATATTGCTTCGCGGTAGGTGCGCCTCGCGAAGTTTGCCTACTTGCTTATACATTCAATTTCGTTATATTCGTCTTCACCGTTATTTTCGTTCACCCGCACCGTAGCGTGACACAGCCGACCGCCGTGCCTGTGTAGCGGATCGCACACTGAAGCTGGAATTTCGTTTGAACAGACCTTTCGTCTGTTTGTGTGGCCGAATTGCCTACCTGAACAGTGCAAACGCTTCTTTGAACATAACTGCTAACGTTATAGCACATTTTAATCAAATTGCAGCATCATGTGTAACTTTCAAATTATTCTTATTATTCAGAGTTTTATTGCCATCGCCTGGCCTTGGCGTTTAACTTCGCTAAGTATTTCAGATAATAAAGGTATTTTCGCTATGTGAAGCGTATTATTAGATTTTTGTTGCATAAAAAACTCTGTAGTGTTATACACTTTGCATGGTATTTAAGCATGTGTTGCAGCCAAATTGTAAAACTGGGCAGCATATTTATTTCGGAATACAACACAACAGCCACTAAACAGCCTACGCTGCATCGGGAAGCAGTTATGCTTTCTCAGCCTGCCAGCATGATTGAAAAAAATGACCCTAATTTTGCAGTATGCAATGGTCATTTAGTGAAAGTATCAGGACCACTTTATTCCAAATTTCCCAGCCAATGTCGTGGCTATGGCAAATGTGTTTGAGAAAAAATCGTGCTGATTTTTTGCACTGGAAAAAGTGAACTGTTTGAATGTTTCGGAGAGAAAAAAAACTTTTGGTCATGTGGTTGCCTTTTGAACTACCCAGAATGTTGTTTGAGTGTTGTTTGTGAAAAGAAATATTGTACAAATACCGCTACTTTTTTTATACCAAGTTTAGTACATGTTAAGTAAACGGACTAATGTAAGGGGTTTGAAACTCAGTACTAATAATACAATTTTTCGGTCACAATCGTCTGCAAACATTTAGCCAAAATGTGTCATATTTATAACTTTCTATTGCAATACTGCACTTTGTATAAATATCTGAGGCGTGACTACTTACTTCACAGAAAAGATATATTGATGAAAATTATTTTTAGACATCCTAAGCAGTTATCATCTACCAGAAAAGATTCCTCATTTCACAGAATTGTGATTTTGTCCATATTGAGACGCAATTTGCATCATGTGGTGTTTCAATTGAAAATCACCTTTTACCTAAATTGAAAGCAAATAAACAATTCTTTGTATGTGACAAGTTTCATAATTACAGTCTCTTCTTCAAGAAATAAAATTTTCAAATTTTCCCATCAACGGCAATGGGGAACTTTGAGGCGTCAGCTGCCGTATGACCAAATGGCAAATGGGTAACTTGGAACTTCAAAAATCGTTTAGGGGCAAAGCTCTTGAGGCCATGGCTTGCTCCCTCCTCTGTAGTCGTACTAGTATTATGTACCCACTTTATGAGTTGCACAATAGATAGCGTTAGTGGTTTTCACAGCACATACATAGACAAAATGACGATTCGTGGGGCGAATCGTTCGTCTGAGCATTTGTGCTGCTTTCGTTCGTTCGCCTGTGCTTCCGTCCGTTCGTCTGTGCATCCTTCCGTCCGGGCTTCCATGTGTCGGTCTGTCCGTGAGTCCGTCCGTCTTTCTGTCCATCCATACTTGCGTCAGACTGTTTGACCATTCGTTTGTGCGTCCGGACGGACGGACGCTACGCCCACTCGTCATAACTCACTCCGCGACTATGCTGTGATCTTTTTTCCAAAACATATAGTTCTGTGACAAAATTTTGCACATGAAAAGAACTCTTTATATGCTTGCAATTTAGGTACAAAGTCTATTTTAATTCAACCACCAGATGGTGCAAGTTGCGTCTTACTATATACAAAAGAACTATTTTGTGAAATTCGCGATTTTTTCTCGTAAAGTTTGGCAGCTTTAGAGGTCTAAAATATTTTTCCTCCAAATATATCTTATGTGGGTGAAGTATTCACTCCTCAGATATTCTTTCAATGTGCGGTACTGATACAGAAAATTGCAGATTTAACACATTCCGGCTAAATTATTTAAGGCGTATGTTGTCGAAAAATGGTAATAATATTACAGAGCTTCAAACACTTCACGCAAGCCCTTTACTTAACTTGTAGACCAAATTCTGCACGGAAGAAGAAGAGGTACTCATGAAATAATTTTTTTTTCACAAACACACAGACGAGATTCCGGGAAATCCAGGAGGCAGTTACGTAACCAAAAAGTTATTTGTCTGCGAAATATTCTAGCAGTTAACTTTTAATGCGGTAAAATCAGCGCGATTTTCTTTTCAATGTATTTGAGATGGTCGCCAAAATGGCTGGGAAGACTGACGTGGATTGACCCAATAGCCAATTCTTCGTGTCAATGTGAGTCAGTTCAAGAACACTAGTACCATTCGCTTTCTAATACGTAGCTATACAGTACTTAATTTTACATGTTACCTGCACTGAATACCTTCTAATGCGCATACCGTCATGTATGTTCAGTGACACATTGCTTTTGTGTAATACAGATAAAATATGTATAGGTTGTTGTGCGTCGTACTGCATTTCTTTTATTAAACTAATTGTATGAGTACCATGGTAGATCTGCAGAAACACACATGCAGCTGTGTTGATGCATACTTATGCATGGAACTTGACATTCACATAGATTGGTCCATGCATGCAGCTAATGGAACATTATCAACTTGGAGCAGTACCTTTTGATTTGCCTGCGCTAGCAAGCATAAAGGGTAAAGTAATGTTCATATCTACGGCACAAAAGGTGTATTGATTCTTTCACAGCGCGCTTTTTATAGTGTTTCTTGCTCAGCATACCTTTTCTAGCATTTATTACTGCAGTGGAGCTCAATGCCACTGAATATGCTTGCTATGCACTCAATTTAAACTTACACATAAGAAAGCAGTTAGTTATGCAGTGTGCATACTGTATGTTGCACTCATTGTTAAATTTTGGTCACTGTTCTTTATCTATTTATTTTAGGTTTTCGGGATTGAATTTCCTGTACAGAAAGAACAGCTTCGCCCCACTTCTCTCGAAGGCACCAGTCGTGTCAGCAGCTGAAGATGACTGTGCAAGCAGCAGTAACGAGCTGTAGTGTTGCAGTTAGAATTTTACCAACACTGACATTGTATTATTACAACACAATCACACCAACTTGTCAAATGTTCTCAGATTTAATGTCGAAATTTATACTGCGAGTTGTAATAGGTTGTAAATGTGACTCAAGAAACACGCTTACTCTTTCTACATGTTTTTTCTGTTGTATAGGTGTCAATCAATGCCACACCTCTCAGTCGTTTGCCCGACTAGCGCAAATGGTTTTGAAAGTTGTGGGGATTTATTGTATTGAAAACAAATAATTTCTAATATAGAGAGAAAAAACTTCATCACGTGAGATATTTCAAAATTTTGCAGAATGCCATCAGAGTCCCGTTAGTAAGACTTGCAGTTTTCTATAATAAAGGCAGATGTGAACATATGGGCTTAATTGTTTTGCACTTCGGCGTTACGTTCGGTTGAACCTTACGCTACAGGTTACGTCTTGCACTACTGTGGTGTAGTGCGTGTGTGTGTGCGTGTGTATGTGTAAGTGCCTGCCGCGTCCTACTTTGTCGTTTTTGGCTCAGTCTCATAACACATATATACACTGGTTTTATGCAGCTCATTCAAGACCACGGCACCTTATTTTATCAGCTGCATGCATGCATGCAGGTATAAGTGTTGTGGGTGACAACAGTATCCTCCTTCTTTCTTGTCAGCTGCTGAGAGTGTTCATATATAGTTCTTCCTGAGAACAATTGAAGCTTGAGCCAGTTGGTGATGCATATTTGATGGAACGAAGAGCTCTAAACGGCTCTCCTCAACACACAAGACTAAGCGTCACCTCCAGTGTCTCTGCTTTTGTTGTCCTGTTATTTGCGCTTCATTTGATCAAGTATGCTTATTCATATAACTGCCATCCTTTAAAGGAGTTTATTAGTGTTACACCTCACTCGCATAGGTGTAGCTTCATCCAACACCCATAGTTTAGGGGTGTTCATAAACACCTAATAAAGTAGGGTGTAACGTTTCTCTACACCCCACGGCTTCGGGGTGTTTCTACACTCCAAAGAAATGTTGAGTAAAAAGGGTGTCTTTTTGTCAACAATAATCGTCATCAGGCCTGCGTGGGCTTCCTTTCTTGAAAACTCGGCGCTTTTCACTTTCCTATTGAGAATGCAATGTAACTCTGATAATGGGCATGTAGATCGTGAGCGGAATGTACCGGGCGCGGGGCGATAGCGCAAGGATGGAACGCGATATAGATGATGATTATTGTTGTGGTACAAAAAGACACCCTTTTTACTCGCTCTTTTTTAGAGTGTACACACCTATTTTTAGTGTGTTCCTTGACAGCTTAAAAGGGTGTTATTCATGAGATAAACAATATACCCTAACGGGTGTAAAAAATTTTAGAAAGTACCATACATTTACTCCCTCGTTTGTGCGGCTTCTCGAACCAGGTGTTTCACATTCTGCGGCTTATTGGCTCAATAATAATTACGATTGAGCTAACGTTCCTCAAACAGGTGATTTCAACTAGTTTTTACTGATGTTTGCTCTACGTTATCTATTACAAGCCAAAGGGTCTGTTAAAACGACCCTCTTTGCCTTGTAGTGCTCATGGTGTGACAGCGTACCAGCTCTATGCATATTTTTTAAGAAGTCGTGAACAGTGCATAAAAAGGTTGATCTTGTAGTGAAATAGCCATTAAATTGCGTGATTTGCAATAAAAGAGATGTTCCTGCGTTGCTAACAATAGTTGATGGCATTTGGTGCCAGACTTACCGGTAAGAACAAGGAGACCTTGGTATGATGTACCCTCACTTGACTGATCTCGTTTTCCTTCAAGCTTGCCGCGCTGCAGTCGAAGAGCTTGTTTTGCGGGTGCAATCATGCCGTTTGAGGACGCTAATGGTGTGGATTCCATTACATCGTGAGCAACTGTGGCGAAGCCTGTTTCCATATGCCGGAGTTGCTTCTGTGTAGTTTTGCTTTTTGTGTTTTCAGAGATAGCACCTTTTGACGAATCTTGCGTTGTGTTGACTCTTGGGTTGTGGTGCGGTCGCAGCACAGAAGCTCTAGTGACCAAAGTATTTGTGACTCTTCCACAATCAGCGTAGCATGCCGTTGATACTGGAAATAATTTTTCAACAATTAATGCGTCTAGTTTTGTTGCAGGCGCTTTTGACACCATTGACATCTTTAATGCTGCGACAGAGTCAGATCTTTCTGCGCCAAAAGTCTTTTTTGTTGCAGACACTTCTGAAATTTGTGCCTTTGTTCGGCGATGGGCTGTGGTTACGTGCACTGTCTCCTTGGTACTTCTTGTTCGTGTTAAGAAATTGTTTTGTGCTGTTGAGCTTTGCAAGTCTGAATGTTTATGTGCCGTAATATTTTCTAGATCATCCGAAGAGAGATGCGACAAAACTGCATCTGAAGACACAGCTTCCCCTCTTGACTTTGTAAGTAATGTGCTTGAGCTCAACTTCGGCAATGATACCGTAGAGCTGTTGGGCAACTTTGCCGTCTTTGAAAACTTTTTTATTGTTGATTTAGAGTCAACTGCAGCTGAAGTCGAAGCGAATACGCTACTTCTTGTGGTCATGCTAGCTTGTGCACGCACTTCTTCACCTGAAATAAATGTTTCGGTGTTCATATTCTCGATTTTTTGCGCTGTGTATTGGGTTCGTGAAAGGGGCCATAATGGTTTGTTTCTTCTCTTGTCTTGCGGTGAAGCATAACTGTTTGAGCACCGAGGATTATTGCGGGCACTTGAAGTAGAAGTCCGGAATCCACTGATGATTGGAGACTTCTGCAGCGATGCTGCTACTAGAATTGGCTTCAGTCTTTTCAGGGCAGGAATTACGAGTTTCTGCAAACACCCGAGTGAGCTCACATCGCTTTGACCACCCGCAGATGCACGCATTTTCTTCTCTATTGAAATAGTTGCTTGAGGCGTTTCTTGTCTGTGATCTCGAAGAAACGCTTGCGTATCGTGTATAATTTTGGGCATTTTTTCTGTCTGCCTGAAATTTTCGATGGCATTTTCATTGACAACATATTTTTTTTTCTTCTTGCTGGTGATTTCGCTACCAGGGGGTATGGAAGAACTTAAGTAATCAAGATCTTGCTGAAGGTGATTGTTGTTAGATGAAGACAGTACTGGAGCCGTACCTGCAACGAAATAGATTGAAATATTTCTTTGAAACACAGCAGCAGTGAATGATACATTTTTACGATAGTTCGTTTTGTTGTCTTGTGTTTCTTTTTATTGTTTTTCACGCAACTTCTCAGCCGCGAAGCATAAAGAGCTAGATGCATGTGAGCAATCAAGTACTAAGTTGAAAATTGTGTTCAGCAAGCCAAAGAGTAATTTATTCAGCTTACATACGTAGTTAGTAAAACAATAATAATCAAAAAGCAATCAAAATAGTGTTTGTTTCAAATAAGGCCCTGCTCATTGACCAATAAAACAAATAGCAAACGCAACAGAGAAGTTGGGAAAAGTGAACCCAACCTTCATGAAAGAGGAGTCGCGCCGAATAAGGCAAAGCTAGTGCACCAATCCAAGACATATCCTGAGGTGAGGTACGTCTCAGTATAGTCCCACAATAAGACCTACACTTCCATAACACAGAAAAGCCGGCCCCATCTGCTGTGTGATATCAGTGCACGTTGAAGAGCACCATAAGGCCGAAATTTCTGGATCCCTGTAACACGGCGTCTTCCGTAATGATATCCTCGCTGTAGGGCGTAAATTGAATGCTGTTTTTCAGATTTGTAATGTAAGCTACTAGCATCTCGGCTTTTTATTACCTGAAACACAATTAACAAGAACACATATGCTGCTTAGAAGAAGTGTGCTTCGTTGTTCTAGTTAGCCACGCATTGTAAAAGATAACAACAGAGTAATATAAACGAGATGAATTTATAATCACACTGAACGAGTGCCGGCTAACAAGTGACTACTTTATTACTTCACTGCAAGTTATACGAGAATCTGCGTGTTAGCGGGTCCTATGAAATTTCAAGCTATTAGCCATGGTAAAATATGTTGAAACTATTTTGCGATTTTGTGAGTACACCAAGGCACATGAGAGATGTCTTCATTGCTTAGTATTAAGAATTGTTCGGTAACACATGCGTCACGCCTGGGTTTCAACGCAGAACTCCTAGGATAGGGGACGAGTGTGCGCGTTTTGTATTTTTCTATAGCTTAACAGTCTCGGGCCTCTGGCATGCACCCATACATGCTACAGGGGAGCGCCATGCTGCTGCCTTGTTTCAGGCTATGATTGTTAGGAAAAATTACCAGCGTAGGGGCTAGTTGGTTGTACATAGTTGACACTTGCGTCACGCTCTTTCAAAAAAGAACACAAAAAGCACAGCTAGGGCACACACGAGTGCGAACTAACAACCCACGCTACGCGACGCTAGCCTCAATTGCTATGATGTTCGCCGAATGACATATAGACCGTTATACAATATAGGCCTTCATACAGGTCAGCGGGACTTGACAGATGAAGTAGACCGTCCATCCTACAAACGTTCGTATGGAGTTCATTGTACACGAAGGCTTCCTGCGTCACTTCCACGTCCGAGTTGATCGCGAATTTCTTTATACTGTGTGACGTAGAGGTTTCTAAAGGAAAAGGGAAAAAATAAGCGCCGTATTGTTACTGTCTCCCTCTACGCAGGACACTTCCACACACCGTACAGGAAATGGGGGAATGGGAATGGAAGGAACCAAAGAAAAATGCCCCTACCTTTTTGAAAGAAATCGCGAGGAAATGCGAATGCCCTTCTTGTGCCGAGAGAGGGCACCGTTGCTGTCAGACATTTGCCTTCACGGACTTCTGCCATCACCTTGACAGGGGCCTAGCTAACGAACCATTAAGAGTAATTGATTGATATATGAGGTTTAACGTAGAGAATGTGAAATTATGTAATGCTGAAACACATGTAGAACCTTATTACAGCTTCTGTGTATTTACTGTGTTTTAGTAGTTTTTGGTAAATTTTCTTTTTTGGTGTTTATTTAGGTATTTATTTTTATCTTTCTGGTCTTCTTCATTTCCTTTCAATATACAACTTGTACTTGACGTTGCCGTTATGCTGCCCAGTGCTTGGGGGCTTGTAGCTCTGTCAAGCTGTCGATTTATGACAACTTTTGCTGCTCGCTTCCAGCGTCATGTACGTTATGCAAGATGCGAATGAAACAAACAAACAAACAACGTCCCAAAACGACCATATGATTATGACAGGTGCCATAGTGGAGGGCTCCGGAAATTTCGACCACCTGGGTTTCCTTACCGTACACCCAAATCTTAGCCAATGGGCCTACAAGAGTTCCGTCCCCATTGGAATTACAGCCGCCGCAGCTGGGTTTCGATCCCACGACCTGCGGGTCAGCAGCCACGTACCTTAGTCTCTAGACCAGTGCTAAGGGGCCGTCGAGAGTGAGGAGCGAGCGGATGGGAGAGTAGGGCACCACCGTTCTCTTCTCTGCATTGGCGTTTCACAGAGGCGTCCAAAGCACACATTTCGGGATGTTCTTGAGAGAGGGTCAGCCAGCAAATGGTCTAGAGTGAGGCGCATGTGGTCGAGAGAGTGAGGCGCGGAGAGGAGAGTGAATAGCGAGAGAAGGAGCAGCAGGGCACTGCACCTACCCTTTCCTTCACTCTCTCGCACCACATGTTCCACTTGCCTGGGGCAATGATGAGTGCGTGCACCCGCAGCTGTAGCTATGGGAGAGAGAGTGAGAGTGGTATATGACACCTGGCAGCGCGCCGTTGCCGCCGCAGACACCACCGCCGGATGACTGACATAGCTCGACTAATATATGCAGTCGCACCTAAAGAAAGAGAGGGGTAGGAAAAAAATCACAGCATATCAATGGAGTGAAGGATAGTGAGTGGGGCCAAGTGTCCGTCAGCCCGTCCGTGCCTCCATCTGTCCGCGCGGCCGTCTGTGCGTCCGTCCATGCGTCCGTCCGTCTGTCCATTCATTGGTGCGTCCATCCGTCCCTCTGTGCATCCATCTGGTGAACAATTGAAGTCCCGCCATCTCCCATCTCACATTCTCTGCGGCACATATCCGCTCTAGAGCGGTTGTGTGCCACCGGTGGGTGTAAAAATACATACATACATACATACATACATACATACATAGAGAGAGAGAGAGAGAAATAATTAAAAGGAAGAGACAGGGAGGTTAACCTAGACGAACTAGTTTGCTACCCTGTACGGGGGTGGGGAAAAGGATCGGAAAGAGGATACCTATAGATAGATATAAAATAAATTAAAAACAAAAAAGAACACATGCGCACACATTCAGGGAGTTCCGATCACAGTCGCATACATACATACATACATACTATGATCTGAATACAAGGTCAAAAGCGGTAGCAGCGCCGGTACAGAAGCAGCAAGAGCTGGCCGGGTGTACGGGCAGTGTCGCAGCAGCAACCAGGCTGCCTTTGCTCACGCCTCGTGCCAAGGTGTCGATGTCACTGCAGCAGTGGGCATTCCTCTTCACTACATTTTGTCCCCCGTCGGAAAAGGAGCCATCCTGGCGACTCACGGAGAACAGAGTGTGAGCGCATCGTAATAAGGTTTCAACCGCTGTGTGCTTGAGCAGTTTTACTACCCCGAAAGCACTGGTATGTGGATGGCGTAACGGGATCTACGATGTAGTTAACAGGTGACCAGCTGCGAGACAACGCGGTAGGGTTCCTGGTATTTTGAAACAAGCTTCGAGAAAATGCCTTTAGGGACAGCGAGAATGCAAAGACCCGCAACAGTGTTCGAAACAAAGTTATAGTATGGCTGGTTATCGTCACGTCGACATTTTTGTCTCCATTGGTCGATGATTTTAAAAGACTGGGCGAGTTTACAGCATTTCTCGGTGCGGCGGGCAGCTTCAGATATAGGCGTAGACTCGGAGGAATAAGGTGGTAGGGTAGAAGAGCTGGCCGGGTATATGGGCAGCGTCGCAGCAGCAACCAGGCAGCCCTTAGCGTCATCCAGTGCGATGGAAGGGTCTCGGCCTTATAACAGGAAAAATGGCGAAAAGACCGTAGTTGCCTGTGGAACAGCAATACATGTGTGCGCCACAAAAGGCAGAATGAGGTCCCAATTGGAGTGGTCTGAGGCAACATACTTAAATATTATGTTTCCTTGGGTACGGTTGAATCTTTCCGTTAATCCATTCGTCTGCGGATGGTAGGCGGTGGTAGTGCGGTAAATTATACGGCATTCGGCAAAGAGTGCGTTGAAAACTTCACAGAGGAATAGACGTTCTCTGTCTCTGAGAATCTCACTCGGTCCATCGTGACGTAGAATGAAGTTCAACAGGAGAAAAGATGATATGTGGTGTGCTGTGACAGGAGACAAAGCGGCTGTTTCTGCATATCGCATCAAGTAGTCGATAGCGACAACGATCCAATGGTTTCCAGAAGCCGTGAATGATCGAGTCCCATATAGATTGATTACATTGCGGTCGTAAGGCCTATATGGGCAAGGGATCGGCTGGATCGAACCAGAGGCGTGATGAGAGAGAGCGTTGAACCATTGGCACTGTGGGCGTGACTGAAGGTATTTGCACACAAATGTATACAGGCCTCACCAATAAAACCGGGAGGAAAGCCGAGCGTCCGTTTTGAAGACTCCCGCATGTGCGCACTGACGGTCAGCGTGGAAAGCTGAACGTATTGCAGCACGGAGATAGCGAGGTATGACGTGTAACCACTTTCATCCGTCGGACTTGTAATTCCTGTGATAAAGGTGGTCATCGCGGACTTCATAGTGAGCCGCTTGACGGCGCCACGCTCAAGAAAATAGAGAAGTCGACGGGTCTAAAGGGAATCGCAAAAGAGCGCTGGTCCAGTGATCCTTACGTTGCTCGACCGCCATGTTGCAGTTTTCTGGGAACCAAATCATTTTGTCCACGGCAGACAATAATGCAGAACTTTAGGAGAACAGAGATGAACGTGATGGGGCGTCCACATCAGTGAAACGTCAGTCAGACCTGTAGACAACACGCATGTCGAACTCCTGCAACTCAAAAGCCCAGCGAGCAAACGGCCGGAGGGGTCTTTCAAGGTGGATAACCAACAAAGCGCATGGTGATCGGTGACTAGGTCGAAGGGGGGACCATATAGGTACGCGGTAAGT